TAAATTGTAAAAAAAATTCATACTATAACATTTCAACTGTTTAAATGAATAAAAAAACTTCACGTACTTGAACTTTTATTGAAAGAGGTTAGGTTTCAGAGGAAAACACCATCCATTTATATATCGGTTTAGGCATTATCTGTGACCAAACCAACCGAGACCCGCTCGTGAAAGGTCGCCACTATAAAAATCTCCCGGCAAAAGGTTGTCTAAAATTTTAATTAAGTTTATTTCTTGTACAGATCAGTCTATTACTACCTTCTACAACCTTATAATCGATATAAGAATTCAACGTTCCTTTAATCAAAGTCCAGCATGGTGCCTGGTTGTATTTTACTCCAGGATTTGAGATAATTTTTGTCTTGTATAAAACGAGAACATATTCATTAATATCAAAATAAGTTATAGCGGTTGAAGGTTTTGTTAAATAATACAAGAGAGGTGATAGTTATTTCGGAAATGAGGTATTAGTTAATCTTCAAACAATATTTAGATTAAGTAGATTATGAGAATTGGATGGAGTGCAAAATAGAGTACGGCTAAAAATTATTATTCTTTAATATTTTAAATAAAAATTTAATTTAAAATTATTTTATTTCCTCTAAATTAGGCAAAGTAATGGATTGTGTTATCAAGAAAGAGCCTTTTAAATGATTAAATAAACTATGCTCTACCATCATGGGCTGCAGGTGAACCATATTCTTTGGTGATAATTCCTTATATGGGCATTTGTTTTTTAAACACCAAATTTAAAAATATAATGATGAAACAAAAAATGTCATGAATCTCAGACAATTTTTTTTTATTATTGGGTTAGCCGATGTTGACTTCTTGTCTCAATTTTCAAACGATATCCCTGAGGATGACCCACATGTTTGAGTCAAAACGTCGGCTGACTCAATAATAAAGAATTGTGAATGAAATTCGTGATGATTGTTATATCATCATATAATTGATCAGTCGAAAATTAGAATATGATTTAATAATAATTGAACTAGTGTTTGTTTAATTATAATAATAATGGAATAAGAAGAAATAAACAAAAATAATCCTTCTCAAAATTTTAGAATTATGCATTATTTTATAATTAACCGATATTTTTATGAAGTATTAAAGATAAAAAAAAAGTTTAATATTAAAAAACATTTAATATTTTCCATAGTGGTTTGTGAAAATGCTATGATTTTCTCCTGTCTCTTTATAATTTCTGTTAAATATGGTGAGGGACCGCTGTCGACTATGAGTTTTATTTAGGCTTGCTTTGATGATTTAGAGTGTAAAGAATTAGTTAAAAATATTTTTTCAAGACAAACCATGACGAAATGTAAAAACTTGTTCATGTTTGATATTGTTTATCACTGTACTTGGATGAAGGAATAAGAATAAATTTTATACTACATTTCATTTAGTATTTGAATAAGGTTAAAATGATTGACAGACCGTTTATCACTTTACTTTAGAAATAGCTGATTATTTCACAATACTAATAATTTTACTTCTCGCTTTGATTTTAAGATGGATTCAACTCCTCCCCCTCCAATTTTGACTCAAATGGAGTTAACTATTTTTTTTTTATTTTTTTTTTACCATTTAATTCAAGTCTAGTATTGATAATCCATAAAATTCAATTAATAAATGTCACAAAGATCTTAATCTTCCAATAGAATTTGTTGAGGTTTTCCTCACCGAATTTTTTTTTTAATATTGATTTTTTTTTTTGTGTTGATCACCAAAGACATAGACCCCTCTATTCGATGATCTTCGCAACTCGACATTGCCAAATAGAGATTTCTTTATATATTGTACAAATATACCACATTCAAACCCAACCTACGCCAGATCGTTCTTTGTTATATTTCAAACCATCCAGTAAGAATACGAAACCTTCACGTTTACATTACTATATACGCTTTGCATAAATATGCTAAGATACATGAAGTTATGACCTAGAGGCACAAAGGGAGACTATAATTTTTCTGGTAAAATCCCGATAGGAACATAACCAATATAGAAGAGACGCAGTGCTAACAGTGACGTAACGCAGTTCCCATGCACCTTGCACTCGTTGCACAACTGCATTCCCTAAAGACACATTCACTTCGTGCCCTCAACGACCCATTTATGATCGATATTTGTACCGAGTATAATAAACCGAGTATTATTATGGCTATAAATTTTATAATTTACTGCTTATGATTTACTTAGTAAAAACCATGTTTAGTTTTATTTGAGTCATAGGTCATGTACCATTGTTTACTTGTTGTGTACCCATGATGAAGAAATGTGGAAACAATTAAAAAAAAAAAAAACCAGTGAAACTACAACATTAATTTTTTATATCAACTGCCTCCCGCAGTGCCACATCCCACGCCCTGGTAAAGACCTGCAAGGTGGGTCGAAACGTTGGCATAATAATTAAATAATACTATTTCATTAATTTAGTATTTATTTGACCGCATCCCCGCTCGCATTTCATGGCCTGAGACTGTCAAAATCACAATAGAACATTGCTCTAAACTTCTAATTTAATTTTTAAAAATAATTAAAATTATACTGTATGACCTGAATATCAGTATGACTGTGTATACATGAAACTTTTCCTACTAAACTCAAAAACCATTAATTTTTAATATTTGCTTCTCTCCATTAAGAGTAAGAGAAGTTCTTCCTCAAGAACATCGGGCATTCTAAATGCAATTAAAATCACCAATAAATTTTTAACATATTATAAAATTGATTTTTAAATAATTTAATTAATTATCCTAAAATTAATTAAAAGAGATATTAAATATACACATACACCGACAACACCAAAATAAGGATTGGGACACCACTCCACTCAAAACATCTTCATTACTTTCATCAAATACAATTCTAAACTCGTATTATTGGTTTGGATCCGACTCTTGGCATCTCATTACCCTTTTTAGTATATGCTAATGGAAAGCGAGCCCTTATTAAAAGTGGATCCTTTTAGTCGTTTTCGCAGATTTGGATAAATTCGGTAATTTATAAATAAATAAAAATAAAAAAATCCAACACGGCCGTGGAATCCATTTGAGAATAAGCGGGAACCGAAGATAAGGAGTTCTGATAAAACACCGCTTAAGCTGTGGGTGTCTTGACCGCATTTCCGACACTTTTCGTATATTCATTCTTTTCCTTTTATACCATAATTTTTGTTATTTATAAGTCAAATGAAAGCAGCGATAAACGCGAATAAGTTTGCCCTAATGCTATCTTCCAAGCTTTGCATATGTTACCTTCAGAAAGTCAGAATGGGACCAGTCCATCCATCTAGCTTTTAAATATGAAATTATTTTTTTATTAGCTTCCACGAGTGAGAAACAATATGCATACTAATCAAACTGAAATTTTCCTCAGTATGCATGTTTATATAAATTGTTTTATAATTTCAATGATAAATGTTCATAATTTTTTTAATTCGTTCCAATAATAAATATTTTAAATTATATGTCTTGATGAAATAATAAAGTTTTACACGATCATAAAATCTCGATGATGGTGCTCCATTAAAGAAAATAATAAACCAAAGCATATAAAGAAAGTTTTGTATCTTTGTATTAGTCCAAATTGTACACCTGTACGTAACAGGAGAAAATAATCTTCAAAATGAATGCTCAATCATCTTATTTGATGGTGTATTAAGTAAGGCTTGCAGACAAAAAAAAAAAAAAAAAAAAAATGAAAGATCTTTGAAATACAATATATAAAAATTGTCATATTGTTACAGAATAAATAAAAACTTTTATTTGCTATTATTATTTTACTTGAAAATTTTGTAAAGTTCTATGAATATCTATTCAAAGATATTGAATTTAAATTTTTATCACCCATACAAAAGAAATTGTACAATTGATATCCTTGTTTAAGTCATGTACAAGAAACGCTACAAAAGTAACAACTCCGATGTAGGCTATTAAAGATAGAATTATTGAGGAACTAAAGTCAAGTTGAATACTCTCTTACCATCTTTTTCAAAGGGAAGCCATGAAACGCCGCATCAATTAGGTTTCGAATACATAAATGTCATTCGTGATTTGTACTGTTTTGAAATGGGGAATAAAATATCTGCACTCTAAGCAAGTATTCATATAATGCTTTTCGAAATCTCACTGAGAAGAAAATCAATTGATCTAACACTAGGAAATGGACAATATGTTGTTAAGCAGGAAATGAAGATGTGTCCTGTCAAATTACTGTTAATGTTAGATTGTGCTTCTATTAGTATATTTCGTTCTCGGCTTCAATGATAATTATATAATAGAAAAGGATGTCTAAGTGTTCATAGTACGCGTTGCAGATCCCGTTTTACCATATCATTAAAACTCATCTAATACTTCGTGAGTGGGTTCCGTTGTATCTTAACTTAAAACTTTTTTACTGAGAAAATTCTCAGAAACAGGGCGTTTTCTGATTAAATAAATTAATTTGATGAGGTACTAAATAGTCAAGAATACCAATTTGCTTTCTCCTCGAATCGTAAGATGATTTCGAGACAAAATCGAGAAAAAAGGTGGCCTACAAAAATAATTGCCCTACATAACCTCGTTATTTGGACATATTGGGGATGAAGATCACGCCAAACGGCTCATAGTTTTTGTGGTCTGCCTTTTTTTTCGATTTTTGGAGTAAGTTAAATTGACAAAGTTTGCCAATCTCCAGATAGAAAAAGCCTCATTTCAGAAAATCTTCGTAAATAAAAGAGTTATAGGTTATGAGAAAAGGAAGCCATTCACGAATATTTAGACGAGTGTTAATAATCTGATAAAAGGAGTCTGTTCCGTGGACTATCAAAATAACAACTCTCTTTGACCAATGAATAAGCAAACGTTTCGTAGTCCGGAATGCTTGCTTTCATTTTGATATTTTAATTGTACTATCTTATTATTAGCCTTAGGTGTTTTCTTCTCTCTCATTTCCTATATATTTATCTACAAACTTATATCATAATAAAAACCTAAGCTAACTTGACAGAGCTATGGCCAAAGCACGGAAGAGTCCCAGATGCATTGGAAATGGACAACCGCCGGACCACGCCAGAGGCCGATGAAGAGAGAGATACCACGGCCTTGGGGATCTTGATAGGGAGGGTACCCTGAGGCTGTGATGAGATGGATAGATGTTAATTGGCCGACAGCTTCCGTGCGGTAGCCACCAGATCCCGCCCTACGATACACGTCTTCTTTGGTGGCTTATTGATCTTCCGGCTCTCGCATTTATAAGGGGCTACATTTAAAATTGTAATTTAATGCGGGGAAAGTAGGCTAGAGTGCGCCTTGTCACCCGCTTGTATTTATATATAGGCGAAAGTGGATTAATTAAACTGGTATCTGTCCTGATAGAGGAAGGTATATGTTCGATGGATATACGATATGTAAGGGAAATCCAAGGCTAGTTGAGAGACAGAGAGAGTGGCCTAAGGACTTACTAATTAAAATAACACTTTGAGGCAACTTCTCCCCTCTTCCAAAATGAAGAAAATTAAAAGCAAGAAAGTAGACACACCTCTATTTGCAGTGAAAAACAAAGCATAATTTTTGCAAATCGCTTCCATAGGTTCACCCTCACTGAAGATAATAGTAGATCACTAAGATAAGAGTTGGAGATTTTACTCGAGGCTAAAATTTCAGCTTTCATTTGACTAAAATACAGCTGGAGCATTTTGAAAGCGATTTGACTGGTGTATGCTAAAATAAGCTGTAAATGAATAAATGAGGTGCTTCATGGGATTCGTTTATAGTTACGTATATTTATGTGTATCTATATTTTAGGACTGAACAGTCTATATATATATTATTGATACTGAGTGTAAATAACAACAATCAATTAAATAAACTGTATTATTCATAATTTTTTTTTTTTAGAGAAACCGAATTTCAATAATGTTAGTAAATCAAACAAATGGTATATAACAGGAACTGCACAATAGCTGTTACCCTGAGGTGAAGAAAACAGGTTCGCTCGACGTTGAGGTTAAGATGCTGTGTTGGTAATGTCGGTACCTTCTGATATCAGATCTACACTTTCTGATCGATGATAATTCATTACGAAGAGGTAAGTAAATATTTCAATAAAAATGTTAACATCAAATACACGATAAAATTTCAAAAGTTTGTAGAGAACGTTTTTAATATACTCTTATTCTTGTACAATTGTTACATTTTGAATGACATCTTTTAGTTGGATGACTTATTTTTATTTTTTATAACTCTGCGACTCAGAGCAATCCATTTTATACAATAGAAATGGTCTTAATTTACGGAAACAAAAAAAAAAGAGCTTATATTCACGGCACTATAGACAATTTTTTTTTAAGTTTTACAATTTTAGGACCTGTAATATATTAATAAATAATTATTTACTACCACTTTACTATGTTTTATCTTATTTTAAGCGTGATTCCTCTGGAACTTTTACAATTTCCTATAATATCATACTATGCAGCTATGCACCACAGCGAATGAAACAGATTGTATGAGCTAGATATTTTTATAGATTTTTCCGTGAAATAATATTACGTGTATCGAATTCGTGAATTAACAGGTCAATTAATAATTACTTTTTAGTTATAAACTACAGTTAAAGCGAAGTAAATTAAATTGCATACCTCTAGATTAATTAGAAATTAATCCCGTAAATTTAATTCAAATTATCCCTTTACTAAGAAACTGAAAACATTACGTGTAATTAATAAATAAATAACTGTATAGTACAATAAAATTATAAGTAAAATCTTTCAACAGTTATGTTATCTATTATAGTAGTATAACTCTACTCTGATTATTGGTTATTTTTCTTAGCTAGCAAATTTCCTGAAGATAAGAGTCCGTGGTACAGAGCCCTCTTTATCTAATTATTAACATCCTCCTGAAACTTCTTAAATAGTTTCATCTCATCGTAACCTACAACTATTTTATTTACGAAAACTCTTGGAATTGGGGCGTTTTCAATCTGGAGGGGGAGGGGGACTTTGTCTATTTATATTAGGTACTAAAAACTCGTAAATTTGCTTTCTACTTCGATTGTGAGATAATTTGATCACAAAATCGATAAAAAAAAGTGGCCTTCAAAAATATTGAACCGTGTGGTGTGATCTACAAAATTTTCAAATATAATTTTTCAAAATAACGAGGTTATATAGGGCAAACGGCCCAATATTTTTTTAGGTCACCTTTTTTATCGATTTTGTGATCAAATTATCTTACGATCCAAGTAGAAAGAAAATTGGCATTTACGAGTTTTTAGTACTTAATGAAATAGACAAAGTTTGCCCCCCTCCAGATTGAAAACGCCCCAATTCAAAGAATTTTCGCAAATAAAATAGTTGTAGGTTACGATGAGATGAAACTATTTACGAAATTTCAAGCGGATGTTAATAATTCGATAAAAAGGGGTCTGTACCACGGACCATAAGAGTACACTGATAGTTACAAATGTAACTATAAAACTTGTTTTAAATTTGTAGTGAACAGCTTTAATTTTTATTTTACTTTTTTATCTTACTTCACGGGACTTTAACAAAAAATCATAGATTTTTCGGTTAAAACAAATCATAAAAAAATATTCTTATTTCGTTTACTTTTGATTTTATTTTTTAGGATGGTTGTATTTTTGAAGTACATACACGTAAATTATATTCTTCTTCTTCGATAATCATATTTATCAGATATATTTTTGAATAAGGACAACCGTCTAATCTATTGGGAATGATTAATATTTTGCAAGTTTAACACGAACTCATTTTCTCGAAATGAAACAACTCTCAAAATATAATTTCATTCGATTAAACTAAATTTTTTTTATTCTGTTATTCGCGTCATATTTTCATCACGAAAATAAAATAAATAATTGCCCGATAAAGTCTAAATCTAAATTCGAAACCTTCAGTAAGCAAATATTAGAATATCTATAGGCTAGTTATGAAATTATTAACTTCAAAACATGGGAAATCAAAAAGTGTAGCAAATGTAAAATATAAGTTTTTGAACTAATTTATTAGCTCTTTTTGGGCTTTCTTCTTTGATCTTGGATTAGTTCCAAAATCAATAGATCCAAAAAAAGCATCGTTTAAAATTAACATTACCATAAATTGATACAGACTGAATAACTGAACATTGTAAAAAAATAAATAAAATGTTGTAAACTTAAAACTATCCAGATAGTGCAGGATATTTGCACTTCTTTATTTTGAAACAACGACATTTTTGATGAAACTACTTCGATGAATATGCTATCGAAATATATTACAATTTTCTAGTTGTAAATTGTCCAGCTTACCTTGAAGGTGAGGCTGGAACTGGAGAATGTAGGCCTGTGGTCGTAGAGCGCGAGGACTTCAACGGACAGCGTCCTCACGGACTGCCTCGGTGGGTTGCCGGTGTCTGTTGCTGCTACTCTCACGCGGTACACTTCTCGTTCTCCGGCTTCCAGGGGTACTCGGGTTCGCAGGATACCCGTCACCGGGTCGATGGAGAACACTCGCCAACCGTCCGCGTCTCGTCCTGCAAAAAGAGTTCAAGTGTAAGTGGAAGGAGTTCAAGATACCAAGTAGTAGTTCGAGAGCCCGTGGCAAAAAATATGTCTTGAAAAGTTATGCCAGGCTACTCATATCGTCATTGTCTTTTAGAAATGAAAGATATTTCCATGACAAGTTCAATGTATTTATTATGAAAAAATATTGGTTATTATTTAAAGATGGATCTTATTGCTAAAAGACTTATGTTTTATGAATCACAATACAGGTACACTAAATTTTGAAGCTCGTTAGTTGTTAGCAGAACATTAAAATAATAAGTTAGAGATTTTTTTTCCAGAAAATCACACTAGTTAATTTATACAACAGCAATTATTCTATTCAGCTCAATAGTTCCTCAGCCTTATCCAAATGGGTGACAGCTGTTTTTAAAAAACAAGATAGCACTGCGTCTGGGTTTAATCGAGAGTCTAGATTATCATAAATCAATGAAAAAAAAAAAAGGTTTTTGCACTAAGATTTACTAAGACAAATTCTTGGCCAATAGTTTACAAAGACAAGCTGCTAAAGGATTGACACCCTCTCGGACTTACCTTTGAGGATGGAATAGGTGAGGGTTGCATTGGGTCCATTGTCCTTGTCGACAGCTCTGATCTTGACAACTTCCGTACCGGGCGGTTGTTCTTCCCGGATGGAGACCACGTCCTCCCGAGGATCCAGGATCTCTGGAGCGTTGTCGTTGACGTCCGTGACGTAGATCTTGAGTGGTACCCTCGTCGTCCTGGGAGGCACTCCGCCGTCTCTAGCCTCTGCCACCAGGTCGTAGTTCGATTTGGTCTCCCTGTCGAGCGGTTCCACTGTAGTCAGTACTCCTGTGAGCAATATCAAGATATATAAAGATTATCTAAACACATATACAAATAAATAACGATTTAAATTTAAGTCATTAAATTTATCATTTCGGAAATGATTTATAGAAAATCAAGATCTAGCGGAAATAAACATAAACGATTACAAAATTATTTGACAATGGTTTATTATTTCCAAATAGTTATACATAAAATATAACACTACTTTTCTTGTCACTTAGAGGAAAAAAAAATTATATTTATAACACTGGCATGATTATTTTTGTTTCCCTCATTATCAATTTACTAAGAAATGTAGACAACAACCTTGATCGATTACATAACTATAAATAAAAACCAATTAACCATTATATAATAACCACCAGTTTTAATATATAAACATAGAGGACCTTAGGTTTGGACTTGGTGAATTATAAAAGTGCAATTATTTGGAATAGCTGCTTTTGACCCGCAAGAAATCATAACGGCTTCCTCCATGCTGTTACTGGTTTTCATTATTTTACTTTATATTGACTTATTCTACTCGTAGTTTTGCGATTAAAATTATTTGTGGACGATTGTTTAAAATCGTACTTTAAATTTCTTTTTTTAAATTGTTGTTTAAAATCGTTTACTAAAAGTAACACATCAATTTTTTTTGGCTCTATTGAATTTTAGGATAAGTTTTTAAGAAAGTTTTATTTATTGACCTCTGATCGTTTAAGATTTATCTTTGGGTTTGTTTCATTCAGGCTTGGGCTGAATTTTATAACAAAAAAAGCCGTTCTAAATAACATATAATAACTTCGCGAGAAAGCTAAGATAAGATGACGTTAAGGAGGTTTGGGTAATCAAAATATTTATAGCAACTACTAACATCATCTAGTTACTGAATAATCGTTATTAGTTTGAAGCGGGTAAGCAGTTATTCTAAAAGATACTTCCAAACCACTTGATGATCATTCATAGACGATATAAAAGCCAAATTCAAAAATCTAATAGACCTAAATCATGTTCGTTATAGGTCAAATTGACCTCTTGTTCACTGAGGTTAAACATATTTATATACATCTTCTATTGTGGCTTCAACGATTCTACCCTGACGTTAGCTAATCATAGGATCCATCTGAATCTCTTTTCTCAGACTGTTCACACGCCGATTTTTTTCCCACCATCTTATCGATTTGGACTAGACAAAGGGACCATAAATATAAATAATTGATTTGGAGCGAGGTGGTTGAATATTATGGAGGGGGTGAGGAGGGGTGTTGCGGCAGCGAAGACAACCCGCGAAAAGTTGCCTATTAGCTCGCAATCGCGAAACAGATCTCGCAGCGTCACAATGAACACTCCATGGCACCATCCTTTTGCTTTAACGAACGCTTAAATGGCGATCCCTGCCAATCACCGCTTCGCTAAAGAGTACAGCGATTTTTTGCTTGGCCGATTGTGTCGTCTTCGCCACTATGTACCGCTCCCTGTCTTTTTAGTTGATAAGTTAGATTAAGTGCGATCCAAGACCAGATATTTTTAACACCTAATTAAGGACATGTTCAAGACTCTTCCTAGGTATATATATATATACATAATCCATAGCTTATTAATGATGTTGGTTACTTAAATATATTTTTTAAAAGTATCAAATTCTGGCATACTACTTATTGTTAATAATATCCTTAATAGAGACAGCATTATATTGCTCAATTAGAATAGAAATTGACAATTTAATAAGTAAAAGGGATAAAAAAAATACATGTGAGCACATACACACACCATATCATCATGTTTTGTAGCGGCTCGAAGAGAAATATTATCGGGATGCTTGGCCGACCCGCTATCAAATCGCTTAGTAGTCTGTTTTCTCATATTTGCGAGTTATACTTATAATACCTAGATATACCAATGATTAAACTTCCACTAATGACCGATAAATATAGAATTTAGCCAACTTGGATTTTATTCATATTGGTGTCAATTTAAGCAATAAATGGGTCTCAGGTCGGAAATATAATGACTACAAGATAATTTGTCGCGTGCGAAGGTGTAAGTTAAGATGTATAACAACGAATGACTGAACATCAGGTATTTAAATAGTTTTAGAATTTCAGTGAATCGGACTGTAAATTTTTTAGAAGAAAGCTTTTGATCTGTTTTTGATATTTTTTAATAAGACCCACACCCACGCGATTACCTGGCAACACAGATATTTCTCTCACAGACGGATCTACGGGGAGGGCTTTCGGGCTGAAGCACCCCTCTTCTCCCCCAAAAATGGTAAAATATAACCATGTTTTACAGAAAAAAATATTAAAACTATCTCTTAAAGTATTCTTGTTCGTTTAATTACATTTAATAGGACTTCAAGAACCACTTAAACACCATTTCATATTGGTAGTTAATTTCTTTCTTTTTTTTCAAATTAATTATCGTTATACGTATATAAAAAAAATCCTTTCGGGCTGAAGCCCCCCAAAATATATCCTGGATCCGCTAGTGCTCTCTATTATACTTATTTATTTGATTATCTACAAACAAGATACAATCAATAAATTTACTGGAAGTAAATGACATAAATTAGATGTCAACAGGTCCATTAATAAACAATATTCATATTAACTATTACCAAGAGGCAAATAATCATTGCTAATCTTAGCTGGAATTTGATGTCGCTAAGTGAATCTCTCAGCCAGCCCTTTTTCTGTTTCTGACAGGGCTATTGTGATAAAGTAATTTTTGGTAGAATTGACTATAAAGACAACTAAGTATTTAAAGGTTGATTTACATTTACTATATATATTTTTTTGTATATCAAAGTGGTGCCTTACACCGAGGAGAGGTGGATTCGCTTAGAACAAATGAATATTTTTTTTTATACAAATATTTGAAGATTAAAGAAAAATCTAGTCTGTAAAAACCAGCTATTTTCATATTCGGGATTGTTATCGAAAAAAAATAGATAAGAACTAAACGAATCTATTTATAAAGCAAATAATGTTACAGACTAACCTATTGAAATACTGGTGTCAATTAGACATAAAAAAACAGGTTTTCAGGGTCAAAAAATCCTATTGGGGAGGAAAAAGGAAGACATTTTTATTGTAATCATTAAGATTGGAAAATGTTCTGAACCTTTTAAGAACTCTGTATTTGTTTTTCTTATCTAAGCGTAACCTTTTGAAGGAATCTTTGATTAATTTATAAACATTTTTTCGGGGATACGGGACCAAAAAAGAAGGATATAGAAATCCGTGTTTATTTACATGGAAGGGCAAGAGAGCTTCACATTCGGCTTTTATTTCCAGGAATGTATGCCTGCCTTAATGAAGTCGTTTCGTCCATTGGACTAGGGATCAAGTTGGGGAGGAATTGGCTAGTCTTTTGTTTCGAGATGATTCGATTAGATGTCTGTTGGGTTAAAGTATTGTGTTATTGTGTAAAATATAAATATGCCATAGAAATAACAATAATGAATTATTTAATACAGGTCTGAAGATCTTAAATCATTAAAAATTAGAACGGTCGATTTCTTCACGGCTATATGAATGATTAATTGAAAAATAAGCTTTCGATATCCGTTTTGAACCTCACCTATAAGTCATTTGATTTAAGATATGTACTAAAAATATAGACCCCCTTCGAAGAATACCTGCAGTATAAGATTTTTACATATCTCGACGACTCGATGACGTGAACGAACATGCCGAGATAAACTCTGAACGTCAGAACCAAGGTTTGAAATAGAAAATTATTTTTTTTTAGGTAATGCGTATGGATGCAATACTCTCTGCTCCGTTCCAGTATAATTCGGAATGAGAAAATCTGATCGATTGTTGGTCTACCTTTGCGGAATCCGCACTGATATTTTCCCATTAACCACTCCGCATACGGCAGAAGTCACAAATATAAAATGTTTGAGAATATTTTATATGCGCATTTCCCCATCACACTCCTATTACTTTATGCTGTCATTTTATTTATGTATATTATTATTTATTATTTTTTATAATTATTGTTTATTATTTCTCTGAGATGAGTCCCCCCTCAACTCCTAAATCACAAAACACAATCTGCAAGCAGGAAGTATACCAACCATTTTATGAAGCAACATACCTTCAAATACCGAAAGGTAGAAAAAGGTTCAGGTAATCAACGTATCGTTTCATTATTGCAATGTCACGATTTATCTCTAATTTGCTGTATCCTGTTTCAGAGAGATCGGAAAAAAAAAATATATATATATATATATACGCGCAAGTCAACAGCGATTTAAAAAACGATCAGGATATGATTTTCATCACTTATGATAAAAAAAAATAGCTATTAGTAAAAATCATCAAATGATTTTCAAAAATTCAAGATAAAAATTTGTATAAGATTTCATTTTTATTTTTTTTAGTTATCGATTTCAAACCCCGTTCAGAACTTTTCAAACGAAAAACCGTTTTACCAACAAGCCATTGAAAAACTAACGAGCTAAGCCATTTTTTAAATTGAATTAATTTTGTAACTGATTAATTCCCTTAGTAACATTTTGTCACGCATACATATTAAATATATTTCAAGGGTACGCAATGACTTATTTGTATTATTGCGCTGGTTCCTCAAACCATTTACCTTCAACTAACAATTGATCACGAAGCAATAAAACCTGAGAAATATTAAATCCTTCACAACGAATTTACGAGTTGTAGCAGTGCTGTTGCAAGATCTTTCATACTTTGACTAGGAGCGTTACCTGCTAATAGTCATTTCAAATGGTCGCGTGCAAGAATGTTTCATAATAAGAATGTTAACAAGATTGTTTAAATGATAATATATCATCATAGAATTCCTCATTTATTTATTTAAAAAAAATTAATTAACAGCGAGGTGTGGATATAACCAATACAAGCTACTTTCAATTACTAATAGTGAATCGATACAGCTCTGTTTCACGGTTGTAAAATCGATTGTTCATCCTATTCAGTCAATCCTACTTTCTCTGACGACTGTTCTAATAGAGTCACAATACAATAATAATACTTTACTCTTTGATCTTATTCTATGCCTATCAAATTGAATTGACGTTGATTGGATTTTTTTTTATTCAAGTTTCATAATAAGAAGTTGAGCTCCTGATGTTGATAATATAAAATAAAATGGTATTTTATGAACGGACGGCTTGAAAAATATTAGACTCATATGTCCTTCATAAATATACCAGTTTACAAACTACCCTTCGGTATTATTTAACATGAGGTGTCCGTGTAACCAGCTAACGACATGAGTAAAAGAAATCTTTTCAGAAAACATGGTGTGTTTACAATCGCTAGTTCACGACATTTTTCCTAGGAATAAGTATACCTTTACTGAAATCCCTAAAAAGGACAATAAAACGCTAGGATAAGGAAATAGTATTAGGAAAACTATTTTTTTTATTGGCATTCCTAGGTTTTCAGCAACCTCCGCGCAGCGTTGCTGTCTCCCTAATTGGCCTCAACTTTCTCTTCATTCCTCCTCTGTCACTCTAGGTCTCAATTTAGTCTAACTTCTTTGAACTAAATTTTTTTATTAAAATGCTGATTATTACTAAATGATAATAATTAATCATATTAAAGATAAAAAAAAATACTGATCGGGATTCACGACTACAGTAATGATAAAAAATTGTAATTAACATGGAATGAGAGTTTTCTATCATTTTCTTTTCCAATACTTCAGAGGATTGTCGAGAATAGATTTTAGAAGCAAAATTGCGAACTTTGTGTGAATATGACGTTAATTATAAATAGGTATAGGTTCTTTTTAGCACCAAATTTGCAACATAGGGAATATTAAGGAACACAGACTTTTGGATCATTAGGACAAGTAGGCAGGCAAACTATTTTTATAAAAGTGAATAAAAAAAAACTACAATGAATTATTGTTGACCTCTTGGATTTTTTCTCTCTTTACACGAAAGAAATTAAATGGCTACTCTTCTTTTTTGAAATTTGATACGCTCTTGTAAAAGTAGACCAACACGTCAAATTTTGGCTGAAGTGATCTGGAACGATTGAGCAGTTTGCAGTAGTTTCAGTCTTGTGTGAAAACTCCGTACCGATTAATACTCTCATTAGGAATATAACTATCTATCAGAGATATATCTTGGCATAATATGTATATTTTTGAAATTTTGAAATCTCTGAACGATACAGATATATTCTTAGCATAAACTTAAGTTAATCTAAATAATAATAATAAATTTATTTGATATTCAAATCATTCATTTCAAATTTTACGATTATAAAATTTGTCCTATTAAAATGAAATATATATGAAAAAATAACAACTATTTCTCAAAATAATATTTGTAACTTTTATGTAACGGTATCGACATCGTGTTATGGTTGTACGTGCAGCAAGACGTCGATTCCTAATTAATAATTCGATTAATATTCATAAAACTTTAAAGAATGAAATCGTCCTAAGAATCAATACAAGTTTATCATTTTTTATACAGTTCCGTAGTTTCTTTTTGATGGTAAGCTTTTGCTGCAATGTGGACCATTGTTGAGGCTTTTGTAATTTAAATAGGTATTGATTATTTTTTTTTTTCAAAATTTCAGTATTTATATTAATACCACTACAATTAAAGGTAGTGAAAATGAATATTTTTCTTAGGAAAGAGAAAAAGGAATAAATTTTCGAAAGCATATCCTTAAGAAATTTCATGAATATTCAGCCGGAGCAATCGCTTTAACCACCTTAGGAGCAGGCTTCCAAGTTCACAGATACAAGCGGAGGTGATGCCTGGAATTATTCATTACCGTTGCCCCACCGGATGACGAAACAGAAATAACAAGACAGAGATAGGTTAATTACAGAATACATAAAGTATCGAATGTCCGCTCAACGGAGATAAAGTTGATGACGATTCTAACGAATATAAAATAGGGACGTCAAATCTAGACGAACTATGAACATGCTCCGCGGCCTTCACGGTAATGGTGGCAAGGTGTTGAATAGGCAAGCAGATCTTTCCAAACCAAATGAATCAACCAGTGCCATTACGATATGGAGCAACAATTTTGTTTTATTATGAAGAGACCACTATTATATATCTCATCATATGCATATCCATACATAAATAGATACTTCGCATTTGAACCCCAAAATATTGTTAAAATATTTCATTTTACCATTTTCTTTAATAATACTTTATTTTTAATTGTTTAAGCAACTGGATGTCAGAACACTGGTCTGAATTCTACTTAGAATAAGTATTAATATATTGACATGGATTCAGACGTGAAACCACTTTAAAGAAGCGTCAAGCAAGTTCGATGAGGTATAAAATTGAGCGAAATCGTTTGGAGAATGCTACGAATTAGTTCGAGAATAAAACCGACTCTTGTAAAGCTTAAACAAATTTAATAAGGAGGTACTTCATTATTAGGAGAGGAATTCATTATTAGCGATATTTTAATTTAAAGAAAATCAAAATAATAATCATTTTAAAATATGTATATGATTGTAGTATCCTCCTCCTCCCAAAAAACATACATTCGAATTGCATCGAAGTGCATTTTTTTCTCACCTCAGCGGTTTTTTTTAGAGGATTCTCGCGTTTTTCAAAGTTTTGGGCACTATTAAAACCCCTTCCGGTTGAATCAGAGGATGGACAATTTGTCAGTAAATTTAGAGTCAGTAACCTTTTTTTTACCAATTACACCATTATGGTAAATAAAGTACGAAAATAAGTTATAAAATGTTGATAACCAATACATGAGAAAAAAAGTAAGCAATGCCGAATTTTCGATATGGCTTTCTCTAAAGTGCATTTAATTTGGTTTATCTGAAATAATTAAAGGTCTTTCATTGTCACTAGTAATAGAGAATGGCTAAATGTAAATTATGATAGAATGTGATACTTATCTAAAGGAGACAAGAGAAGAAATGTTGTTAAAGGTGTCATGTTTCCATGAAAAGTAAATGAAATTTCAAAGATAATGGATTCTTTTACAACTATTTTAAGTTTGACACACCGAAAATGCACAATACATAAATTAAAACAACTAAATATTAACTAGCACTATTTCAGCAGAAATTTAATTAGGTTGGTAAGTTGAATTTATAAGATCCACCCCACACCACATTTTTTTTTCTTCATATTTTCTTTCAACTTTGTGTAAAAAGTTAAAGTACTGCAATTAGAAAATATAATCCTAGAGGAGACTGTCGTCTAGCTCAGGTCTCTAATTTCAGCTCTTGGTTCAACAAAAACTAGTTCAATTTAGGTTTAGTTTTGTTTTTCTTAGATCCGAGAATTAATTCAGTGGAGAGAGTATTTTGGAAGCGGCCCCGGACGTCGGTCCCACAGGTTATCCTAGTCCATAATTATCCGCCATTGACTGAGATAGACCAACCTCCGCCATTATCTTGAGGATGGTTATCCTCGCGGAAGAAATCTCCCGAGACCGCTAGGTTCCTCTTTTAGTTTCCTTACCGCTCAATTAGTCTTACCGCGTTCAAGTAAGATTTTTAGGACCGGATTTTCGTGAGTAGTTGAGAAGATTGCCATAAACAGTGTTCCATGGGAGTGGACTAGATATTAAAACCGGCATGGAACATCTCAATCCTATTTTTTAGCTTCCATTTTTCAACATGTAGTAATTTATAAAATATTTTACTTTTTTGTTTTGAGAACAATATGAAACAAAGACCCTCTGAGGGTAAAGACCCGAATATTGGATGGAAAAGAGATTGAAAAATGGATCGGTCCAACATTTATAGATAATAGCTGACTCAGCCATTAGTATAATAACCGAGTTGAGGCTGGGGCATTATAATCAACCTATTATATTACTCTCCCGATGGATTTCGTTAAATAGCCACTCGCTCATATTTAACTTGAACCTTTCTTAATGTCCAGTCGTTTGGACTCTTTGCCGTATCCTATTCTTCCTTTTTCCCTCTTATTCACCTGGGCGTGGTGAGGCAATTTGTGTACGTGCGTTCATCAGGAAGGGGGACTCCTAGGAGCAATACTGATGAGAAATAAACCGCTTAGGGGTAATCGCTTCGGCCGCCGTTCGATTAAGTCTACTTGGAATAATAACTCGCCCAGATGCGGCTTCGTGCCGAATATAGCATCCTCGCAATATTCCACCCTCCGTTGATGGATTGGAAGAATAATGCACTTGGTATTAAAGGAAGATCCTCAACTAACGTGTTATTTACTAAGGATCGTTCATACTACCATATATCTCTGTGAAGGAGAGTTCCTTAGCGATCACGATTGTTGGCTAAAAAGATAATCAAAAGAATAGACACTGGTGCACACTGACCTGTTAGAGGATCGACTTGGAAACTAGAGTTGGATGGTATGATGGAGAACGTGACATCAGCGTTCTGGCCTAGGTCCGGATCGGAGGCTTTGAGACGTCCGACGACGGCACCTCGAGAAAGGTTCTCTTCGACGTACCAGGAATAGCGCTCCTCTGCGAAGATGGGATCGTTATCATTGGCGTCTGTCACTGTGACACTGACCAGGGTTGTGGCGGTAGCTGGAGGTGAACCGTTGTCCATGGCGGCCACCTGAAGCCTGTAGGAATCCTGCCTTTCTCGGTCCAAGTTACCGCGGAGGTAGACCCATCCGCTGTTCGGGAACACTCCAAACTCGTGAGAAGTTCCAACGAGTCTATAGGTCAGCCTTGCGTTGTTTCCTGTATCTAGGTCTACCGCTGTCACTTGGACCACCTAAAAAAATAAATAAAAGAAAAATATAGTGAAATAGAAATAATTGAATGATATAACTGATAGACATTCTATCCGGATGTTAACATATTTACATAAATTATCTTTTTCGGTTGCCGCTAACTACCTAGACGAATGCGCTCCGGCCAAGGAAGGCCTTCTAGAGAACTATCGTCCATGAGAAGGTGTGGGCGATGGTTATTGTTAGCAACACTATCTTGATGGATTGATGGATGATGTTCGCGGGTTGTGGGCGACACCGGGTCAACGCACCTTCATCATCATCACCATTATTCGAGGTCCCCTTTAACACTTTCTTAGAGGCACGAAGACTGGCTCAAGGTTTTTCCTCAATATGGTATTCTGAGATTTTAGAAAAAACAACTTGGAAATGTGAGCTGAACCGAGGATATGAATACAATAATTGTTATTTAAGTTCGATATTTAATTTTTACGAAGTGTTGTGGATCAAATAGATTAAATATTCTATGAACATTTTGAACATTTTTTTCGATTTTGTGTCATTTATGTGGACAAATTTATTTTCTACACTCCTCAATAGAAATTTTTTCATAATTAAATAATGTAAAATTATAAAAATAAGAATCTCAGACTTTTCATTGTATTAAGCAATAATATATTTGAATTTAGATTATTTTGTTTAAATATTCAAAAATAAGTTACTAGAAACACTACGAATGCATGTAACAAATGTCAGTATTTATATAAACAAGAATGTATTGTGAATACTGATGATGGATTATCCTTACAATCGGATACTATAAGCTGTAAGGCGGTGCCGGTATGAATAAAAAAAATAATTAATGATAGATTATGGATTTGTTTTTTGGACGACTGGAGGATCCACCCACGAGAGAGGAGATGGATGTTAGCTGCTAATTACCTGAGGAGGAAGATTGATGGAGGTGCCCCCCACTAGAGGGCCTGGGGGCGACACCCTCTCAGCGGCCTCGCATCCTCTAAACTGTATCAGTCGGGGATTGAAAAGTTAATCATTCCTATGTCAGGCCTGGGGGTACAGGGATCAGTGGCTGGATGAAGATCGACATTACCTCAATCTGGATTAAAACTCACAAACCGATCTCTCTTTCAGCATGTCCACAATATTTACTGTACCGAAATGATTTCCAAACATTAAATGCAGTGTACTATCAGATGCAAAGAACGTGAAAAAAACAGATTTTGAAATCGATAGTTAAAAAATCAAAATCAAATATGATCAAAGTTTTTATCTGGAATATTTAAAAATCATTTGATGATTTTTACTTAACTGAGGGCAATTTCTGTTTTCGATTCTAAGGGATAAAGATCATATCCTGATCATTATTTTTCAACAAAAAGTACATTAATAACGTATACATACATATTAATTGTTGTGTATAACGTGATTTTTTTTTCTGATCAAACTTTTTTTAATCACAATTTAATCATTATTATTTATATACCGTATTATATTAGTACCGTATCACTCAGTGAGTTATTATTACTTCAAGCGAATTAATAAACATCAAAAATCGATTTAAATTTTTATTTATAAATCTGGCATAATTTTTGCAATTAAAAATCAAATACAATAATTATTAAATGATTTATTGAAAAATATTTATCGATTTCAATTAAATTCACTAAAGTTGAATGTTTAAATCTCAATTTATGGTGGTTAACCATTTTCGTATACTCAATAAACGATGGTTAATAAATGGTTAATATAGTTGTAGCCCCTGCTAAACCCACCATTACTACAACAATTGAAAATTGCAACCTCAATCTCACCTACGTTCTTCATCCTTAGAATTCTGTAACATCTCAAATTAACGTGTTTTTTTTTTTGTTTTTTTCATGCAAGTACTAAATTGAAGTACCTTTTGCACACCACTGAAGTTTCATTGATAACAGTAATAATTAGAATACTAAGGATTGGATATTTAAAGAAGAAAGTTTTAGACTGATTGTTTTTACCCTGCTATAAGCAGAGATGGGCAAAATCGGTATCAATGATTACATGATCAAAACTGAAAACAAAATATAAGGACGACGCCAATATTATAATTGATTTAATTGCATTACAAATATAGCCGTAATGACGTAATAATCAAGATCACTGTAACCGTGATCATAATCGTTGATTATGATTATACCCATCCATGGCTATAAGTAAACAATGAACATCTTAATTCCAGACTAAAAGTTGTTTAACTAACAAGAACTGACGAACATTCCAACACTTCCAGAGCCACCATTTATAACATTTATAATGAGGAATTCGACTATTAATAAAAATCAGAAAATAAAATTAAAATGTAAAATTTTGTTTCCAACGTACTATCCCTCCCAGCGACCGGTTACGGCTGTCAGGCATTCTCGACATCCATTAATCATCCGATGTCATACCGCTTAAGAGATTTTTCATACCAAGTGTCTTCCCCTCCCAGCTCAGCGTTTGTATAGATAACAGCTTTCATCAGGGGATTCGCAGAAAACTAATATATATGTATAAATTATGCGTACACATAATTCAGGTATAAGTAAATCCAATAGCGTAGCTGGAGGAAAGTATGGCAATTTTCTCCCCTCCCACTTTCAACGTAAAAATATTTAATTTGCAGATATATCTCGTAAACCATTTTTTTTTAAGGCAACATGGATTATTATTACTTCTATGGAAGAAAATTAATTTAGAAAATTGACCGCACTATAAAGCTAACTTGGCAACCAAAAAATTAAAAGAGGGCAGATAGTATTGATTGATTTACTTTACTAAACTTATATTGTTAAGCTACTTATATTGCTGATCAAATGAAATCATCTTGACCAGCGCTATCCTTGAGAAATAATTATTTCAAATACATACATAAGAAATCAAGGAACAAACACGGGCTGGCTTTGTTCCTGGCAGTAAAGTATATTTATTGGCTGTATGCCTCGGATCCGGATTGAAGCCGAACACTGAAATAGCATTTGAGGAGAACCGTAAACATCGCCGGGCACATTTCTGTCATTGGAAACGGCCATCTTATCTCAAATAACTCCCTTGGCCATATTCAATTTGTAATCTTTTTTCCCATTTCCAGTTTCTTCTTTTTCTTTCCTTTATGTTGTTCACTGAGGACACCCATGGGGGGATCCGGGCTCATGGATTAAAAACTTGACTCTATATTCTAACTTCAATCTCGTTTAAAAAGAAATGTACCCTCTTGTAGCTGATAGACGTTGGCTTTTATAGGAAGGCGTAAACGACTAGGAAAAGGTACGAAAAGATATTACCGAGGGAAAAGACAGATAGCGATAAAGAGGAAGTGCTTCGGAACAAAGTTAGGCCGCTCTTAACCTCTTAAGCTGTTTAAAACTCCCTTGACCAATCCTTCCTCTCTGTGTGGGAACTAAAACTTTTAAAAGCCACTAACATATATCTTTGGTATATTTAGTCTCGATGTGACTTTTAGATAATCTCGAAACCGTATCTTCTTCTATGATCAACTTTAGATAAAATTCTTCTCATGGCGAAATTAAATTATTCTTAAGTTTTGATAAACTTCACCTAAAAACAGTTTTATACTATACACATTTTCATTTGACCTTTCTTCCTTTCAATTGAGCAGTCATCGAAGGTTCTAAAGATTTCAATCAAATGAGTTCTTCAGCTTTTTTTTTATTCACCTCATGGAAAGTCATGTTTTATAAATTTACTAAAAATATCATCTCCAATTTATAAGAAGATTGAGATATGAAATAAAATATTATAGTTATGTTAAAAAATAAACTTAGTTTTTTGCATTCGTTTTATTTCCTTATATTAACGAATAAGATTTTGGATTTTCCATCTCATGACTGCTGTAATCAAAACAAAAATTGAAACTGAGTTCAAATATATACATTTTCATCAATGGTTTAAGAAACTTATTCAACGAATTATCCTAAATCACAGTAATAAAAGAAAATTGACATAAATCTTTCATCTAGATTTAAAGCGTTGACTTACCTGGGAATTGAGAGGGAGACTCTCCGACACTGGGACGGAATATTCGGGCCTCTCAAAGACAGGAGGGTTGTCATTGACGTCTTGGACTTCCAGGAGAACCGTGAGGTTGGCGGAGAGTGGTGGAGATCCTCCGTCGGCCGCTGTGATGAGCAAAGAGTGTCTTTGGGCAGCCTCGTAATCCAGTCTTCCAGAGAGCCAGAGGTCGCCTGTCCTCGAGTCCAGTCTAAACAGTCCACGTGGTCCACCCTCCAGTCTGTAAAAATATAATGGATTCTTATTGATAACAATGTCATTAGATACAAAAGATTTTTAAGAATTAAGTCAAGCAAAAGAGATTTTATGTATTATTTCTTAAATTGAGATGGTCTAGAGTATCGTTCCGATGGTCTGGAGTAACTTCAGACAGTATATTATAATTATTTATTGGAACCAACATTTATAATTAACCGTACTTTATTACTCTAACTGTTATTTCTTAATCAGTAACTATATGTTCTTATCAGTCATCATGGTCCCTCTTATTTCCCCAAGGTGGATGGCGCAAGAATCTACTACCCTCTTACCAAGATATTTTATTCCCCACCTTTTCTTAAAAACAGAGCTAGCTAAGATAAAATTATAAAAATCGTAGATTATATACAATTTCTCCTTGGCCTCTAGTCCGAAAATTCATAACCCCATAGAAATTCGCCCCCTCAAAAATTCAAAAACCTGTCAAAATATGTTTCTCTCTCAAAAATTTTGATGGCGCAACTTGTGCTATGATACTCCCTTCTGGGCACCTCTGTCAGTCATGCAATTTATATTAGTTGTTTTATATCCTGTGTATTCTTAATCTTAATTTTATTTTAATAATTCTACTTTAAGTGTATTCAGGTAACTTGTGATGAATGATTATTGTGTTAGATGATGAATGATTATCAGGTAACTTGTGATGAATGATTATTGTGTTACGACATTACCTGTAGGTAACTCTTCCAAAGTCTCCAGAATCCTTGTCCGTAGCATGAGCAGTATAAAGAGGGCTGGAACCTGACTCCGATTCCCGAACAGATATCCTCACAGATTCGGAATCGAACTCAGGAGCGTTGTCGTTGACGTCTTCTATAGAGATCTGGACCTAAAGAGGAGTACATAGTTTTTGGTTAATGCTTTAATTAAACGAATTATCAATATTTAGTTATATAACAAGAAATATATTAATACCTGAGCTACACCATAAGCAACTGGATTCCCAGCTGCCGCTTGTACGCTGAGAAGAAGACTTGATCTTGCCTCATGGTCCAATCTCGCAGCAGTCCTCAAGTTACCGGAAACAGGATCGATGGAAAAGTATCCGTCGGGATCACCTGAATTGATGGAATAGCGCACACTGCCAGTTCGACCTGAAAAAAATAAATGAACGTTAGAATTGATTATATATATATATATATATATATATATATATATATATATATTTTTTTTATGATGATTAAATAAATGAACGTTAGGATTGATTGTAAATGGAAGCCGGTAAGAAACTAGGACTCGAAATGAACGTAGATAAAACAAAATATATGGTTAGCTGCAAAAATGGCGATACTACTGGTGATATCGATATAGATGGTAATATGTTTGAACAGGTAGATAAATTTAGGTATCTAGGTTCTACGATAATTAGAAAAAACGAAATTGGAGAAGAGATTAAGGTTAGACTGAAGGCGGGAAATGCTTGTTATTTTTCTGTGACAAAAGTACTCAGTTCGCGCCTCTTGTCCCGGAACTTAAAAATTAGAATCTATAAAACAATTATCTTGCCTACAGTTCTTTGTGGATGCGAAACTTGGCCGCTTACATTAAGGGATGATCAGCGTCTTAAGGTCTTTGAAAATAAAGTATTGCGTAGAATATTCGGACCGAAGAAGGATGAGTTAACCGGAGAGTTCAGACGGTTACACAACGCCGAATTGCGTGAACTGTATTCTGGTAATATAATTGAGGTAATTTCGTCGCGGCGAATCAAATGGGCTTGTAAAGTTGTTGGGCTTAGTAACCAGAGAATTCCTTAAAGATTAATATTTGCTGTACCGAATGGTAAGCGTCTGAGGGGTAGACCGAAGCGTAGGTGGGAATATTGCATTAAATCCGATCTGAAGGGACTGGGTTTGGACGGCGAACGGTGGAGGGAGGTGTGTAATAAGCGATTGTTGGTATCGGCATCGAACCTTCGGGTTCGCTAAGCCTTTTATTATTATTATTATTATTAGGATTGATTGTAAGTTGTTGGATTGTATTTACGTATTACAAAGTATATATAACTTTTAAATTTGAAATTTTAACAGGATAGAATTATATTTTATTATGTATGGATATGTCAACGAAAAAAAAAATCAATAAGCTATAAACTATACATTGAAGTCCATATACCACTACTAAGAATATATCGAAATAAATCACGAATATATATATATATATATATATATATATATATATATATATATATATATATATATATTTTTTTTTTTTTTTTTAAATTACTGAAAGTGTTATAAAATGGTATTGTTCCTCACAATGATCAGCACATACATATATATATGTATGTGCTGATCATTGTGAGGTACAATACCATTTTATAACACTTTCAGTAATTTAAAAATTGTATGAGTATAAACCTGTCTTGCATTTAAAAAAAAAAATTATATTTTCTCAGGTCAATAAAAAACAAAACATAATCAATATGCTAGAGACAATTATAATTGAATACTATAACAACTACTAATAGATAGATATTGGAAAAGATTCAAATCAATCATGAATAAATATAAAAATTTTTAAATCCATAGACTATTAAATAAAATAAAAAAATAAATATAATTTTTATTTTATTGTTCTTTCTTTTTTTTATATTTATTTTAATATATTTTATTTTTTATATATTTTTAAATATCTTTTTCATTTATTGTTCTATCTATCTATTATTAATTTTTGATTGTTCATTATTTTTTTCTATTTCTCCTCTAAAGGGTTTACAAATAGAACCGACTCACGTTGATGAGCTTTTTTTTGGAATTTTGGACAAAAAATCTAAATTGTTAGGTTAAATATTAAGCAGTCTAAAATCAACAAATCAAAATATTTTATTTATTGCCAATTTATTTATTCTACATTTATTGCCAAAAAGAGAGCCGCCTTTTAGAAAAACATAATTGTTTTATACAAAACCAAAATTTATTATTTACAATTAAAATAGGTTATAGTAAATTTGATTATTAATTTTTAATAACTATTATAATATAATCCAAACATAATCCTGACAGAATAAAGTGATACTTGCGCTGCATTTCTCTATAAAAAATAATGAACCCAGTCGTTATCGACCAACAATTCTCGATAGGCTATTTGTTTTATTAAATAAAAAAAAAAAAAGAAGGAGATTTTACGATCTAATTAGGAGTCATAAATACTGCGTCAAGAGAAAGTTTGAACTATACGACCCGAGCGCAAAAACGTGAATTTTCAAAAGTAATAAACCCCTTTGGAGTTGATGGTTTTTCCTGAGTGCCAATAACTAAGTAGTTAACCAAATCGTCGCTTTCACTGTGAAAGTTTAATTATTCTTTTCATCCATTTATAGAATGGCTGGAAATTATTTTTTCATCAACAAAAATATTTACAATTGAGATTATCGATTATAGGAAAAATGACATTTTAAAGAAATTTATTACTAAAAGGTTAACGATTGAAGTTAATCCCATCGACAACGTAATTCAAAGAAATCCTGCAACCTGGACATAAATTGTTGGACCACCCTTTGCAGCTCTCACATCTGTTGGCATTTAGGGAGAGATGTATCAAAAAATAAAATCCCTTTGCGGCTTCAAAAGCAAAAGATTTACTCACAATTAATTAACCGGATTTTGTCTTTTAATCCTGCGTTATGCGACCGCGCTCTGTGTTTTGTACGTATTTTCAAGGATTCCGAACCTATTTTTCATCGTAAATTGAAGAAGCGAATTTAAAGCGTAGAGTTATGACAAGTCGTGGAAAAATATAGAAATAAAAAGACATGTACGCATAAATTAGTGGAATTAAATCTGATTTTTTATGAAAAATTCGCTGGAAACTTTAAACTATACGTTCTTACATTATTAATTACAGTTTATAATTTGCGCAGATTAACCTGTCTATCAAGAATAGATCTATTGATTAAAATTAGAAAATAAGCCGCTAAGACTAATTACAAATTCGACATTCACAGTTGAGCTCAACAATTATATCTTGCGATTGGTGCGGCAAGATAAGGAATAAATATCCATCAAAGGTGAGAGAGATGAAAGATTATGAAATTTTTCTCCAAGGATAGGACAATGTGTATTCTTATTTATTGGAAGTACACAAACCCCAACAGATCATAAAAATTGTGATAATCATTGAATGGTAAAGCATTGTTTTCTTAAAAACAACACTATTAAATTTGAAGTTGAGGTGCGAGGATGACACTATAATTGGGTCTCTTCAGTATAGTGACTCCTATATAAAAATACAAAATTTATTATACTCCGTGTTAACACATTATGGTCGAGACGCGTGACAAAACGTTTTTGCAAACTATAAACAGAGACCTGGCCATGCATTTATATTTTATTTTTATTTGTTATTATTATTTTTTTTTTTTGGTTTTATGAAATGCAAATATACAAAAATTAATAAATTAGATAGATTGTTAGTAAGCCCTAAGGGTGTCCAGAACGGAGTTGCATGGCACCATCAAAATTTTTGAGGGGGTACAATTTTACAGGATTGTGAATTTTCGTGGGTACACATTTTTCCGAATTTATGAATTTTTTAAGGGAATATATATGTGTTTTCTATTAGGGAGAACTAAAGAAAAAGGGAAACTGCTAAATAACAATTTTTATAATTTCATATCATACCTTCATTTTTTAGGAATAGAGCAATCAATTTTCTTGGGACAGAGACATGCGCCATTGCCCTTGGGGTGGATGAGTACCCCTGGTAAAATCAAAATAACAACGATAAATTGTATCGAATCCCGCCCCAGCCTTAATGCATCGACACGAATTGCCTTATGTATTAAGAGTTATTGGAATAAATAATATTAGTCGTGTGTATGGTTTTAAATTTTAGAGTAGCGCAAGAAATCTTAAGAAGGAATATTTAAGAGAGATATAGGGTACTGTTAGGGGCCCTCAACAAAACGCAACAAAGAGGCGTTCCGTTGGCTGGACCAAATCAATGGAAAGAGGTTATTAATCGTGGTATTGTTCGTGTTGATTAGGCTCGCTACGGGGAACCTTTCATAGGCCATTATAATCAACCAGGCCCGCCTACCCATGTCCCACCGGAGCAGGTGTCTCTGCCTCCAAGTCAGGTCCTCGGGGCATTTAGTCAATTATTACACGGTTGGCAGCATTGAGAGATTATCAGTAGGAATTAGTGACCATCAGGGGAAGTAATAGAAGTGGACAGAACATTTCTTATCTGTGATACAGTACACTTCTTATTCTTTTCTGTCAGTTTGGCAACCGTTCATTGAGGTCTTTGTCTTTCAAAGATATTTTAAGCTATGAATGAACGGGGGAGTCCAGAAGGAGGTTTCATGACACAAGTTGCGTTATTAAATTTTTTTGTAGGATCGTGTATTTTATTGTGTAATTTTTGGAAGGAGACATATTTTTGTTTGGAGGAATCTTTAAAGCAGAGGACAACGCAAAACATTGGATAACAAGTGTAAATGTACAATGATCTAAAATTTTTCCAATTCTAATTTCGTTAGCCCTTGAGGGATTGAAGGAAAATTGGCACTACTGCGAATGACCTAATCAAACGGTTACAAAATATTGATCTCGTATTTTGACCTTAATCTTCATCATGCCTGAAAGGCTTCGATGGGAATGGAATCCTAGAATTTTAAATAAATCAAATTCGAATGTCAAAAAGAATACACTCATCCTGATTGTAAATGCTCCTCTTTAAGATGAAATCGTGAGGTGTTACTAAGGACTGGAGTTACACAATGGCTTCATTAAAAATATAATAGGTTAAGGAATAAGATAAAGGTTGAATGTTTAAGGGTTCAGCTCGGAGAACCATTTTATATATATATTTGTACGAGTAGTACACATCTCAAAGTATTATACTAATTTTAAGGTAGCCAATGGAATTTCCTAACTTCTTCCGTTGTGTTCCGGTGGAAAACCTAAAGTAAAGCGCAACATAACTTCTTTAAAGGTCTATGGTATTAAAAATATTTTTATTAAATTAAACCATGAATAGACTGAGCAATGAATATTTATGGCATTGGGAATATTTGTAATGAAAATCCGAATATCTATAGCCAGCGAACAGTTCTCTCGCAAACCCCCGATCAAGATGGAGTAGAGGA